TCTTCTATTCCTATCTTTTCTTTTCTATCGTTGTAAATATATTGTTCTTCAATGAACATCCAGCTTGATTATTTCAATTCATATCAGCGAGTTCTTAAGTTCATAACATTGGTGCTTTCGTTGAGAGTTGAATGAAAGATTGTTTTTTTTTTTCCTCTCCAAGACGCGCTCATGTGAAATTGCCATTGTTTACCAGAAAAGATCCAGAAAAATGGATATCCTCATCCCACAGTTTCTTTGAATTCTAGGGGACAATGGATCATCATCGGGTAACCGTGTCATCTTTTTAGATGGAAGGGGAAGCCAAGAAATGGTTTCAGTGGATGCAGCAGTGGCGACAGTTGGACGGATGGAACAATTTCATTGATGCCATTCGAAAATGATTTGTGTCCTAAGAAATGGAGTTGAGAGTTCAAACCATGGTGATCAGCAACAAATCATCAATTTCGACAGATCTAAAGCAGACAGAAGATAAAAATCTAAAGCTGCTTAAAGAGATTCATAGGCAGCTAACACTTTTAACTACCCAAATAACTCAGGGCAATATGACAAATGGAGTCAAGATTGGTGGATCGTTGGAAGTTATGACTAGGTAAGATTAATCAAGCATAAAGACACACCAAGTGTTCGACGGATTGCCAACACTAAAGGTGAATAATATTGGAGACCAAACAAATCAAAGTAGCGATGGATTTAAATTTCAAACTGATGAAACAATGATCACTGTTTCTTCCAACGCGATTGAGACAATGGAAAAACATGCTGAAGATGACACATATCCTATATTTGGCAAAAAAATGCTACTTAAATTTGGTGAAGGTATTAGTGATGATATTGGCATTAAAGTCATTGAACCACAAGAACCAAGGTAAGATGAGATCCAAAATATAGATTTAATGGGAATAAAGAATCTTCTCAACTACAGTAAGTAACTCTACCCTACATACGAATTGACATGTATAGCAAATACCTCATTGACATTATATGAGGAATTATATACGCTGACTTCCTTATTGTTAGTTGTTGTTCGGATACATTGAAAAAGCATTTATTCGGGAGTGTTTACACATGTAGAGGAGTTTATTAAGTTTGATGATCCTTATCGATTTTGACTTCTGTTGATGGGAATATCTATGAATCGTCTTGTTTGAAGTTTAATTACAAATTATGTCACCTTCATTTCTAGATGGTTAATTCTTTGGAAGCTCCGATTAGATACTTGTGGAGGCTTCAACTCTTTTCCTGAGGTAGTAATGAATGTTTTTAAAGATGACGGAGTTGGGGAGCTTGTAGAAATGATTGGATTAGCTACTACATATCCTCGTGGCAAGTTTGTGGCTAATAATTTATTAGAAATTGTTGGAAAAGTTTTGTCAAGATATTGCTATTGTGGTAACAAACTAGAGGACATTGACAATTTGATATGGGTTAATTACTTGTTAAAAATGCAAAACAAGTTAGTTTTGGACAATGAGGGTTTCAAGCATTACAGAAGTGAACTTCAGTTTCACACTTTATCCATAAGTGTAAATAATCCTTACGAAGTTCTCATAAATGTTATAGGGGTTTTTGCTCGAAGAAACTACAATCAAAGTTTGACAGTTGGGCATATTGAAACAGAGTGGATCTCTCGAATAAAAACGATTTTCCTCGATATAGATTAATTAATTAGTAGGTTGGTGCAATAATCCTATATTCTTGCAGATATTCACGAGGTACAAGATCTTACCTATTTGTCATTTGCTGCACGTGAATTGATGTTGATAAAGATTGTTGTGAATTCTACTGCTCGACGTGATATCCTTGACATTACTGACATATCTAGAGCCACGGTTGTGAAAGTTTCTGATCACTCAATCACTTTAGAGTTGATGGGAGATCTAGACAAGTTGATTACACTACAGAGATTATTGGAGTCCTATGGTATTTATGAGGTTGCTCAAACTGACCGTCTAGCGTTACGACTAATGAGTGACACTAATGTTAAAGCATAATTCTATCAAGTAATATCTCTAGAAATGCCTTCGGGATTAATGCCTCTGAAATTAGACTATTTCATCGAAGATGTTGTGATAATGAACATTGCAAGATAGCCCCAGATAAATAAAGATATGATGGACGAGTTGCAAGAAATGAAGAAACTATTGAGCCTTACAAATTAGTTGTGAATAGAATGACCGACCAAAAAGATGTTGCATTGGTTACAAAAGATAGAGAGTACGTGTGTCATTATAACAAAGCTAGATGAAGGTTCTAGAGATGGTGCAACTTTGAGCAATAATGAGGTGTTTGGGAAACCAATCAAACTTGTTGATCACGGAGAGCACATGGAGGACTTTAAACAATTTTATCTTGATCGAATGGTTGGATACCTATTGAAGATTGGATATGTTCTATCATTGGTTGAGAAGGCATAAGGAGTTATGTGCCAATTAGAATATGTTGAAGATTTGCAAAAGAAGTTAAGGAATACATATTTTGACTTCAATGATTTCCAAAGGCGGACTAGTGCATTTGCTTGGATGGGTTCCCTAACTCGAGTTAATGGAATGGTCCCTGATATGGCAGTTGTTACTCCAACCAAAGTTCGAGAATCAGATAAGAACTTTAAACTACCGGAGTCCATGATTAAAGCTATGTCGACGTTTCATCAACAAGAAGTTACTTCACTATCTTTGTTGGGAACAAAATTCAAGTTTGGCATCTCCTACGAACGTTGAGGACAAGGTTCTCTTCAAGAGCGGGGTATTGTTATGACCCAAAGGCAACCTATGTTAAAGCAACATACACAACCACCATGGCTAAGTCGGCAGCACGTGATGGGTAAGAGTACACCTGGGAGGAGGTATCCCAAGGCTTTGTTGATCGGGTTTAGTTGGTTATTATACATGCAATAGAGGGTAGAGGAAAAGGGTATGAATATTGTGATAAACTATTATCCTCTCTCTTCTAGTCTTCTATTCTATTTCTTATCGTTTTTTCTCTATCGTTGTAAATCTCTTGTTCTTCAATGAACATCCAGCTTGAGTATTTCAATTCATGTCAGTAAGTTCTTAAGTTCATAACAGAACACTTATCAAATCATTTAATAGAAAATGATTTTTGAAATTTCCTATTTTAAAAATAATTTTATCAGTTTGCATTTAAAATCAAAGTCAAACTAGGTTTGAAAGTTGGTTACACATAAAAGTATTTAAAGTACTCTCACGATTTCCAAAATCGGTACATTGTTAAATTATAAATTTAAATATAAATTCAAAAATAAAATATGAATACATGATTTTTTTATCGAATAAACTTGTTTAAAAATAAAGTTATTTACATTATTTTTTATATTTTTAAAGGGATGGGTTTTAAAAATAAAGTTATTTACATTATTTTTTATATTTTTAAAGGGATGAGTTTGTCACATCGATGAGCACCACTAACGATGAGCATCGTTGAAAACTATTAATTTAATTTATACAAATTTAAAATTCTAAAGTGCTCAATGTACAATTATAAATTAGTTAAAAATTTAAAGGTAAATTATTTAAAATAAAATATTAATTACATTAATTTTCATAAAATTTTAATAATAATTGGATCAAATATCAACCCCTAAATTAAAAAACCTTAAATATATTTTCCTTGCCATTGAAGTTGCCACCGCCGTTCCTACCTCCTTGCATGGCCGTCATTCCCCGCCATTCGCACAACCAATCCGATAAGGTAAGCTTTCTTTATTTTTATTTTGTTTCAAAACTTGGACGGTCGTCTAAGTCGTCACCGACTGGTGCCGCCTTCATTGATAGTGATCGTGTTTGCCTGTGTGTGATGACCGCCATCGAATTTTGGCTTCCCCTAATCCCCTAATTCTCAAACCTTAACCATAACCCTAACCCTTTTTTTCTAATTAGGCCAAATGTAGAATTCTAATTCCCAAGTTGAGTACCCTAATTCCCAAATTAAAACTCTAACTCTCAAAATTAAACCCTAATTTATATATTATAACCGTAATTCCCAAATTGAAACTCTCAATCCATATCGATACGTTGTTTCAGGTGTATTGATACACGAGTAATCGAGTGCTGATACTGGATGTCAATTGGTATATTAATTGATTATTGATACTAGATACCTACTGGTACATTAATTGGTTACTATATTTTATTCAGGTAAACACCAATTCAGACTCAAAATGACTTCGGGTTATCGTCATCTCAGGTCACAAACAATTTTGACTAAAATCGATTTCAATCAATTTTTTAGATCATGTCAATTTTTTTACGTCCCTACTTATCTCTCGTGGTTGGTATTTGTATAGACTATTACATTTTTCAAAAAATATATACAATATAATTTTGATACAATGTGGGCTGATTTTTTGTAATAATGCAGTTGAAAAAAAATTATTCGAATAGGGCACTATCGGAATTATTTCTTCAAATAGGGTGATTGCTACAGTACACCCCAAAGATGCATTGCAGTCCATGCGACTCTAATATAAATTTGGGGGAGACGCATGGAGTGCAATGCGTCTCCCATATTTTTTCATATTTATTTTTTATTTATGTTTTAATCATTATTGCAAAAAATTGAGAAGGCTAAAATTTAGGGGGAGAGCCGCATTGTGATCCAGGGAGGGGGAGTCGCATGGTGTTCCATGCGACCATGGGGAGACGTGGGGAGCTCAGTGCGACTTCGATGTGTATTGTAACATTCACCCCAGTCGAACAAATAATCTCTCGACTGCCCTATTCGAACAATTTTTTTCAATTGCATTATTACAAACAAATCACCCTACAATGTGCTTAAAATATTACCCAAATTTGTTATTCAAATCGAAAAGTATTGTATATTTAAACACATTTAAACCTTGTCTCCTATGTATTACAAGAACAATGATATCAACTGAGTCATGACTCAATCTATATATATATAACATTTGAACATATAACAACGGCTTGTCAAATTATTTACACCAAGTATTCAAAAACAAAACATATCCCAGTAAACTATTACTTTATGCTTGCTGCTTTCTGTATCTTTCCTTTCCCCGGTTTAGGTGCTGGCTGTTTCAAAACTTCCGAAAACTTGAACAGATCAGATTTGAGAATCGAATCAGAATCCTGATAGAATTTCTGGGTTTCAACTGGTGATTCGAGATCATCATCCTTGCCGGACATCAATCTTTTGAATCCATAAGAACCGAAATCGCTGTTCCTTCGAAATTTCTCTGGATCTTTCGTACTCCCTCTCGGGATATCCAACGACGTTGTCGATGAACTCTTCGACGTCGGCGATTCAGCATCTTCGTCGGTTTTACTCGTGTCTTTTCCCCGTAGCAATTTCCTGAGTTTCTTGAAGAACTTGGTCTTGTTGACAGGTTTCGAAGTCGACGAATTATCGCCCGAAGAATAATCGATGGCGATGGATGGTTGGGGGGACGAGTTCAACCATTGATCGCAATCCGAATCGGTGTTGTTGGTCTTCCCTTTATCGGCAATTGTGGCTTCGGCTTTGGCGTATTCGAGTACGAGCTTTTTGGCCCTCGCTTCGGACCTCGGGCTTAGGGTTTTGCTTAAATCTCTCGATCTTTTGCCTGCACGGGGCTTGTTGTTCTTCAGCTCGTATCGCAAGCAAGCATTCACCCAACGAAGGTACATCAGTTCTTCAACATCGGTGAACTTTTGTGCTTTCAGCTTTTCGTTTTGATTCGTCAGTTTTTGGTTTTCTTCCCTCAAATTGTTCATCATTTCACTTGTTTCTGCCTGCAACCAAATAAACCCAGAAAACATAGCAATAAAGGGTCTAGGGTATGCATCAAACATCAATGCCAGATAAAGGGGAAGTTTAAAATACAACTTGAAACAATTTAAATTGGTTCCAACTGAAAATTTTACCATAATCATAAATTTTTTTTTTGTTGGATGGAGTACATTTTATATTGAAATCGAAAAGATATATTACAAAAAGTAACCTCGATGTTTATCAAAAATATTTTAGCCCATATTTTTTTTTGAGTATTTTGACGTTCAACGTTTCTTAATACTCCAAAATATGACCATTTACCCTAAATGAAACGTTTGGGGTCAAAATACTTTATAATAAAAGAATAAAAGTCAAAGTAACTATTTAGTCAAATATTATATACATTTTTACTCTAAAATAAAACATTGAGACTTAAAAAAAGATAATAGGGCTAAAATGATCATTCTAGTAAACTTTGGGTGGCTATTTTTGACATTATGTCCAAAAAATATTACCTTTTTTGTATCCGAAATTATTACAAATTGTATAATTTTTTTTTTGTAAACTCTAAACCCGCCGCAATGTAACTTTTTTCGATTGCAACAAAAAATATAATAAATTGTATAACATTTTAGGTTGAATATGATAACTTGGAGTGAGCGTTCAATAGGGTAGAGTAGAGTCAAAAAAAATTGAGTTATTCGCGTTGACAAGTCTTATTTTACAACTCGAAGTTGACTTGAAATTTTTTCAATGGGAGTTTATAAAATTCAAGTCGAGTCAATTTTTTGAGTTTCTTTTTAAACTTAATTGTAAATATTTATGATATTATGATATTATTTGATTCCAATTTAAATAGTTTTTTAATAACTATATACAATACATATATATTTTTTCATATGTAATATACGTGTATCATAGTATCATACAGAGTTGAAGGACTTGACGTAAACTTGAAAATCAATCCACTAACCACTAAAAATTGAGTTACTATTCAAGTTATTCGAGTTGTATTTTACAACTCGATTTGAACTTAAATTTTTTTCGAATCGAGTCAAGTTTATGAAATTACAACTCAAAGCTAATTCGAGTCAAGTTTTCTCAAGTCGAGTCAAATTAAAAAGAATTCGAGTCAAGTCAAGATTTGTTAAGCCCTAATAATATCATTTTAAATTGACAATAGTGTTTAATTAATCTAAAATTAAACTAGGGCATAGCAGAACTACCCTGGATAAAGATAAGAAAAGTGAGGGAAGGAGGGGGGGGGACAAGTACCTCGGGATTATCCGAATCTGCAAGGATTTTGGTAGACTGCAACTTCTGAGAAAGTTGAGAGTTTTCCAGCTGTAATCTCCGATTAGCTTCCCTCAACTCTTCAGCTTCCACTTCCAAAACCTTGAGCCTCTGCAAATTAGATTCGGAATCCTGATTAGTAGCAGCCGCCTTGAGTTCCTGTTCCTGCAACCTAGAAACCCTCTTTTGAAGGCTTAATATCTGCTCTCTGCTCTGCTCAGCATCCTGCCTGAGTTTCCTCTTGAAAACCTTGATCTTCGATCTTGCAGCTTCGAGCTCCGCGATGACCCTCGCGTGATCCGAAACCTGGGCCTCTAATCTCTGGTTCTCCGACTGTAACGACTCGATCCTGCGCGTGAAAATCTTGGCCTCCATTTTGTTTATCTTCAATTGGTTTTGGAGCTCCAATACTGCTGTTTCTTGTTCTTTGAGGCCGTAGTATTCGAGCAACTGGATTTCGAGGTTTCTCTCTTTTTCACTGAGCATTCTCACCATGTTTCTTAGGTACTTGATTTCTTGTTCGTAATCGTCTTTATCTGCACTCCTAAAGTCTCTTGGATTGTCTAAGTCTAACACGGGTGTCTCAGTTTCGAGGTTAGGGGAGCTCCCGATGTTGTCTGAATATTCCGGCGATAGAAACACATCTCCGACGTCTTTGTTGCGAGGAGAAAGATCAAAAGAAGCATTATCAACACTTGTTCGTTGCATGGACATTTCTTCCTGTCAGCGGGAAATCAAAGCATCATATTCACTTGAGCCAAACTTATCAAACTTATAAAATTTAAGAGTAGAAGTAATTTATATAATTTTAAGATAGAATATAAATTATTTTAAAAAAAATATTAAAATTTTAAAATTTTAAGATACGAATCAATCATCTTTTGGGTCCATCTATATGTTGAGACATATACTAAACACCTAGAAACAATGGCAGAATTAAAGAACTAGTGGGACCATGACTCCATAAAAATATTAAAAATTAATATATATATATATATATTTTAAATTATTAAGTTGGCATATAAAAAATATGTATAATAAGTTAGTAAATTTGATTGTCCCAAACAAATATATACAATTTTAAAATTGAGAAACCACTTAAATATGGTTTATTAAAAACAGTTAATGTTTTTTTATTATTATTTTTAGATGAACAAGAGTTCATTTTTAAAGACACATAATATATGTTCTTTTTCTATGTTTGTTGTCCATCATTTTTAAGTTAAAGACTTCAATAAGTTATTAAGTATTCAGTTTTTAATTTCATTTCATTTGAAGGTATTTTTATAAAAAAAAATATGTTTTCAATTCAATTTATATATTTGATTGTTATTTCAAATATCTATATATATTTTTTGAGGGCAAATATCTATATTTATTACGTGGGTTCATTAATTGTTTATCTATAAAAAATAAAATCTTAGACACAATTCTAAATTATTATCCATATATTTTGTTTCTTTCAATTTTTATGTGACCATGTAAATTTTAAGAACTAATAAAAAAAGTTATTAATATGATATTTTAATATATAATTTACATTGATAAAAGTATTTAAATATTTTAATTAATATATATATATATATATATATATATATATTAAATGATCTCCTAGAGAATAATATTGAATTGTCACTACCTAGAACCTAGAAACTGAACACAGGGTGACACATATTGGATCTAAATGTGTTTAATATGATATGATATTCTAGTGTTTTTTTTATGTTTAGGTAAGGGATGGCTCCATCAGTCTAGGGTCAGGGCATACCTAAGACTTAATTGAGATTTATATAGGAATTTATTGATTTCCCACTAAGAGTGACGGTGATAGGATTCGAACTTGACCTTATAATCTCAAATGATATTCTGGTGTTTAGATTGGAATCCTGATAATGTAAAAGGGAACTTACAGGGTCAGATGTTGGTAACATATCTTTATGGCGATCATTTCCTCTGGAATCAATGTCGAAGAAACAATCTATGCATAAAATCAAAACAATGACAAAGTTTAGAATATCAAACTGATTACTAAGGAAAAGAAGAACAAGTATGAATAAAAAAGGCTAAAACTTCCAACCCGGAACACGAAGGAATGGAGGGGACGGCCAATATCGTCTGAGCTTTCGAGTTTTGAGTCGAGAATAAAGGAAGCCAGCAAAAGAGAGAGCAACGACTACCCCAAATTTCGCCAAGAATGGCCTAAAACCTGAGTTTTCTCTTACCATCGTACCTATAAACGTTTAAGTTGGATCATATTATTCTATGAATCCCAGATAAAGAAAGATCATAGGTTCGTCTTCTTCATCCAAAATGCAAATGTCTGGAATTCTATCTATATGAACAAGCAATTCATTACAGATACATAAAGATTGACAAATAATCAATTTAATGTAAAAGAAGAGAACAAGAGTCTTGCATAATTTAGATATGCTAATATTAGTCGCTTATGGATAATATAAACTCGTTTAATCTACCTCAGATTATCGGAAAACAAGGGAAGAGATGAGCAAGAAATGAGAGAAAAAGAACACCAATTTCTCTAAGAGAAACGGAAATGGACGTTTGGTTCAAACAAGTAAAATTATTTTTAGGACTAGGATTAATAGAATATGATGAGATATTTAGAGGTGTCGTCGGGTCATTTTGGATTGGATCATTTTAATTTCAATTATATTCGGTTTAGGTTCTATTCAAGTCGGATCATTTCGAGTTTGGATTTGGTTTGAGTCTATTTTAAGTCGGGTCGAGTCAATATCTAAAATTGATTGATTTTTATTTTGGGTCAATAATAGATTCGTTGATTTTTGGTATGGGAAATATCGAATCATTAACTTTCGGTTCGTGTCAATCTTGAATTATCGGGTCAATTCGGGTTGAGTTGTATATGAATCCGATCAGATATATATATATGGGTTAGGATCCTTTTACAACGTACAAAACTTTTTTCGTTTTGCACCTTTTTAGGATTGTTTGATTGAGAGAAATCAAAGAAACTAAAAGAGTTTTACACAGTGTAATTGAATCATATACCTATATATATAACTAGAAAAATTAAAATACGTCACTAATGTAACACATTGATATACACCATTAATTAAATTACTTTTATTAAATAGATATTAAAAATCCTAATGATGTATCGACAATTTATCTTTTATTAAAACTTAGTTTTAATTTTAATAAGAATACATGTAAATCATGATTTTTTATTAAAAATTATAATTAATTTAAGATTTTATTTATTTAAGATTCAAACACTTAATTTATATAAATTTACAAATTCATCACCAACAACAACACCAAAAATCATCCGTCGATGACCACTGATCATCGTCGGAAAACCATTTTCATCACCGGAAAATCTTTACCTTGTGATCTTGGTGTTGGACTAAGTTGGATATCTATCATGAAAATAGTTTTCTGGCGATGAACAGTGGTTGTCGGGAATTGATTCTTGATGTTGATGTTGCTCTTGGTGATGACTTTATAAATTTATATAAATTAAGTGTTTGAATCTTAAACAAACAAAATTCTAAATTAATTACATTTTTAATAAAAAATCGTGATTTAGTTATATTCGTATTAGAATTAAAACTAAATTCTAATAAAGGATTAATTGTCAATAAGTCATTAATTTTTTTGTATTTATTTAATAAGGATAATTTAATTAATGATGTACATCGGTGTGTCACATTAATAATTTATTTTGTTGTACAACGTTCACTATAGACTCATCTTATATAACTATTAATATATTTTTGTAAAAAGACGTGACATTTTGACAACGTTCACTATAGACTCAATTTAATGAATGAACAATTAGTTGATGGTTAATCTGATGGTCAAGGAAATGTTGGTATGCAACAAGGGATACACCAAGTAATGTCACCACGTTACCCATTGGGTGATAGTTATAAGCCTATTTTGACCACGTTGTGCCACTACATAATGATCATAATTTAGGCATCATGCGACCAACCATCCATACACCTTATTATGAATTAAAGTCAATAATGTTTAAATATTTCAATCGATGGGGTAATTTAGTGGATCAACCAAAAAAAGACTCGAGATTACATTTAAGATAATTTAATGGAGATTTTCAATTCATTTGTACATCAAGGAGTGAAGCAAGATAAAGATCAATTCTGAGATGATTTTAATAACATTTTTGTTTTACCTTAATCATTAATATAAGGTATTGTCATTATTATTTTTAGTTATTATTTTGTGTATATAAATAAATTGAACTATAATAAAGTCCTGAGAATAATATGATTATTCTTATAGTGTTATTGTGAGTCGGGACAACAATAATGCATTAAGGATAATGTGTAGTTGATTTATGACAATGTGTTGTCATTGACATTGAGATGCCAAAATCAAGACATAGGTATGTGTTAAAGAATAACATATTGGACGGATATGTTATGAATATGTTTCTTGGATCATTATGTGACGGTCACAACATTATTCATAGTGATGATAACTAAATGTATGACTACTAAACTTGAGATCATCACTATTGTAACATTGTAAGTTGTATATTTTGATACAATCAAATGTGTATTATAGTTGGTTACACTATAAAGACTGATGTTGGACATGCTACGATCAATGTAATGGGATATCATCGATCAACATAAGATTTGTCCCTCCTACATAATGGGAGCGACATCTTAGGACACTTGATTGAGTGAGACTATGAAATGCATGGTCATGCTCCAATCAGATATCTTTTAATATTCAAATTTAATAAGATGATAACATCTTTTAATTTGAAATGTTCAAAAGATATAGACACCTTTTACTATTTAAACTTAAATAAATATTATTTTAATTTGAAATATCTAAAAATGTATAATTATCATTAATATTCAAAGTTAAATATACAATAAATCTCTTTTTAATTTGACATATTTAAAGAATAATTATCCTACTAATATTCAAATTAAAAATATCTTTTAATTTACCATATTAAAAAATATATAAATTTAATATAAATATTAGATTCATCAATTAAATTCACCCTCTTTTTTCCAACAAAGTCCTCCAAAAGATAAATGCTTGAAATTTTTGAGGTTGACGACCTCTATGGTAAGAACACCAGTGAAATTATTATAAGCATTGAGAATCTCAAGTTGAATCACACTTGTAAGTATTCCAACGGAATCTTCCCGGTAAGACTATCGGACGAAATAGTGAGGTTGACGAGCTTTTTTAGAAGCCCAATTTCAGAAGGAATGGTGTCGAAGAGAGGAGCAAATGACGCATTCAAAGCAGAAACACTGAAATCCTTATCACATTTAACGCCGGAGAAAAAACAATGAGCTGAAGGAGATGAAGAGAATCCCAGTCGTCGAGTCCCGAACCTTTGAGTCCAATCATTGAAGATCTAAGCTTCAACAAAAACTTCAACAAATGAATAAGGTTTCCGTAAAGACAAAAAGATAGAACCAAACACTACCCTTTAAGCTGTATAAAGCGCAGTAGCAGCGACGCTTCAACTTCATTTCTTGCATCAATAAGCTTTTTCCATGACGCATAGGAGCATCATCTCAACTGCAGCTACTTCAGTTGTCATTTCCAATCTCTCTCTCCCTCTCTTTTATTCCCAACTTACTCTTCAAGAGTTGTTATATATGTACGAAGAAAGAGGAAGAAGCTGGTTCTAGTTGTTTGATGTGATATTTTAAATGCTGAGAAAAGAATTACCTCTTTGGAAATGAATGGCTTGACGACTGTCATTGTGGAGTTGAGAGGAAGATGGTCAACTATCTCGCATGGCAAAAATAGTGCTAGACCAGTTGGTTAATGCTCCACATCTGATTTTCGTCACCCTAACCAACTGCTGTTAACATCGAATGATCATTTTGTTAAAAATCTATAACGTGATTGACAAATTTATAACTTTTAAAAGTTCAGTGTATAAAATGATAACTTGCATTTAGGGCCTTGGCAGCTCTTGGCAGTAACACCGAACACCTGAACAATTGCTCGGACCTCGCTCCTTTAGTTTTACATTTAGGGCCTCATTTTATTAATCTTTACAGTTGGGCCCTATCTCATTAACTGCTTCGGATAAAACCAACGTTAAAATAGTTTAATATAACATCTAAATTTCAATTTCTCAAATCTCATTAATTTTCAATATAAAACCATCAATAAACCAATTAACAATATAGCATCCTCAATTACCCATTAAATTATCCAATTTTAAATTAAATATAAATATTTTTTTCCTTTTTCGAATTATATTCTTTAATTTGTTAAATATTTTAATTTTTATTCTCTAATACATTTAAAAAAATTAATTATTTTTATATTTATTAATAAATATTAAATTAATTATTCAAAGTAACTAAAATATTTTTTTATTTTCCCCTAGTGGCCCCAGAAATATTGGGGACGCTCTGGTTACCCGTTACCATTAATGATTTTCAACACACAAAGGAGCTGTCGAAGCTTCTTATTTCACTGCAAACAAAAGAGAAAAATGGCTGCAGATTCGTAGCCAATGGGCTCAACGGTATCGATTCAGTGGGCAGTGCCGGCAAGTAGACTGCAGCAGATAGCTGGTGGTCCTGTTCCCGTGGTCCTGTTCATGTGTCTATAGTTGCTGGTCCTGTGGTCTTGTTCATGTGTGTATAGTAGCTGGTCTGTAAAATAAATAATAAATAATCGAAAAAACTCAGATTTCAAGGTGAGCACGAAAAATTTTAAGGTAGACAGTGTCAATAAAACTTATATCTACCTTGACCAAGCTTTTGCTCCGCCACTTAATTCCACTGCCTGATAGAGACTAGGGTTTCAAGTCGCGATCGTATTTTTGGTCATTTCGAATTTATCATGATTGTGGTTGTCACGGGCGTTATTGGACGCTATTGCGGCCGTAGCGGGTAATCCGGATGGCGACGAAACCACTATTTCACGGGCGTTATCACGTTTTCGGATCATGATTTGAAACCCGATAGAGACAACTTATTAAACCCTGGTTTTTATTGGGCTAAACTTGATCACGTTGATTTTATAATTAACAAGAGAAGGTCAAGAAAAAGAAGAAACCCCACATCATGGCAGTGAATTGTGGACAAGGTAAGGGGACAAAGAGCCAGCAAAGGTATATATTATTGAACAAGATAACTGCCAACTGTAACCCAACAGTTTGCAACTCTCAATACATTTTTTACCTGCAAATAACATTAATAAACAAGTAGTGTTTTTG